GGACTGAATGAGAAGCAGAAAAACCGACACCATCTTGTCCGCTGCTCCTGCCTCCTTTATTGGGGTCCCAGGCTCGTGGCACTTCAGGGGAGGAATGGTGGCTAAGATCTTTCCCCTTCAACCATTTGCCCTTCCCGGGGTGCTCCCCTTGGGGGTGGTCAAGAATGCTTATATCCAGCTGCATGCCCATCTTAGTGGGGGCATAAGATGGCACAGGATTCTACTATTTCTTCGGTTACAGGCCTCTCACGCTTAGACATATCATTATCAGAAGGAATGCTCATTATTACCAATCTATTTTTAGGGATATTAATTCCGCCACCACTACTAATAATACAGATCTAGTGTAAGACAAACACATACCGGCAGAGCCCCGCCCCTCACAGCACCCAGAGCACGCGCGCACACACACACACACACACACACACACACACACACACACACGAGGCAAGCTTTACATTAACTGCCTGGACTCATCAAACTTCGGAGTGAGAAGAGCACTGGGAGTCCCTCCCACCCAAGCCCGTCTCTATTTGAAACTGAGGCCCCACCACGGAAGGCACTGTTCTCTGCCATGCAGGTGCCTGCCCGCTGGCCCTTCCTCCAGGCACCTGGGCTGGGTGAAGCCAGCTCTGAGCACCTAATCATTTTCTTGCCCATCTGAGGAGAAGGATGGAAAGTGGCAGGTTGTGGGGTTTTTCTGAACCTACCCAGCTCCTGGGCTCCAGCCCCCTCCTTTCTCTCTCGAACAACCCCAGATCCTCTTGGCGTTGTCATCCCAAAGAACTTTTGCTCCAAAACCCTCCCCAGCCCTGCCAGATTGGACATGCTCATGGGAAGGCCCACAGAAGCCGAGCCTCCTCTCCAAAGCCACATGCTCTGTAAGACTCCACATGGGCTCCCCTCTCCTCCAAGAAGGGGCTGGGCACACCTCTGACAGGGAACATTTCTGTGGTCACTCTGGCTCTGTTGTGGGGGGACTGCTAAATACAGAGTCTGATAATTGGGTTTTCTGATTACAGTAGTGTGTGTGTGTGTGTGTGTGTGTGTGTGTGTGTCCTTGTGCGTATCCGATGCCTTCCAAGACTGATGAGCTGGTATAGTCTGGGACATGGCTGTGGAATTTACAAGTGTAGGTGGGATCTCCAACTGTCTCCCGGCAATCCGGTTCCAGAGACACACCCCATTCTGTGTGTGTGTGTGTGTGTGTGTGTGTGTGTGTGTGTGTGTGTTGGTGCCCAGGACAGCTGTAGTTTGTCAGAAGCAGTAGTTTCAGGATGGAGGATCAGGGGTTGGAAGCCGACTGACCATGCACCCTCCTATGAGCAAGAGGTAGAGGGTTAGGTCAGACCTCCCAGGGGCCTCTCTGTTGCATCCTTGGGGATCTCGAGGGGTGCCCACACCCTGGAGCTTCCAGAGTAGTCGTGAGAGCATGGGATCCCTTTTCTCTGTGACTCACGGATGGTTCTCTAGTCAAGTTCCCTAAAAGATCACGATTCAGCTCATTCTCTCCCTGGCCCCATTAATCTGAGCTGACTAAGCAAGAGCTACAGGCAGGGTAGAGACCCGGGATGCTCATGATGGCAGGCATTACTAAACAACCCTGCAGGCCTCCTTGCTTCAGCTTCTGCCCATCTCCCTGCCTTGGGACTGGCCATGCCGAATTGGATTGGTTACACTCCCATGCTCCCAGGAAAGGTTGCCACTGCCTCCTTTGGGGGCCCTCTGTGCATGTCTCTCCACTCCCCCCCTAGTACCTGCCACCCACCTACAGTGTAGAGAGATCCATCTGGACATCAGACCTCAACTTGTCTGGGTGGGAATGAGTTCATTTTACTGTTTGGCCAGCATCCAGCCTGTAAGGTCCAGATAGGATCAGGAAGCCGAGGGCTTCTCCAGGGATGATTCTATCGCATCCGTTTTGTCCTAGCAGCATGGCCCTAGGCTTTTCCTGAACACTGGGAGAATGCGGAGGACAGACCAGGACTTGATGAGGGGGGCCTGATGGGGGATCTCTGATGTATGGAAAGATCCATCCTGGGAGGTGGGGATGGTGTGAGGTGGGGATACGGTATTAGGGATGAAGATGGAGGTAGGGCTGAGGAGGTGAGGAGGAAAGAGAAGAGAAGAATGGGGTTGTGAAGATGGAGGTAAGCCCTGGCTGGCGTGACTCAGTAGTTAAAGTGTTGGCCCGAGAACCAAAGGGTCTCGGGTTTGATTCTGGTCAAGGGCACGTACCTGGGTTGCAGGTTCCTGGCCCTGGTTGGGTCGCATGCAGGAGGCAACCAATTGATGTGGTTCTCTCTCACATCGATGTTTCTCTCTCTCTCTCTCTCCTCTCTTTCTCTCACCCTCCCATTCTCTCTAAAATCAATGGGAAAAACAGTGAGGATTAACAAATTAAAAAAAAAAGATGGAGGTAAAATTGAGGATGAGGAGTTGGATAGGAAGAGAGCTGGGTTGGGGTTGAAGATGGGAATGGGGATAGGGCTGGGCTGTGAAAGGAGATAGGGCTAGAGTGGAGGGGTGAGGGATGGGGTGGGGGTTGAGGTTGGGGGTGAGCAGAGGGATGGAGGAAGGGACAAAAGGCGGGAAAGGGTCCATTGGAAAGACCAAAATTATTCAGGGACCTTTGATTGATGCTTCCGAGATGCACTCTCCTGGAGGTCATCGTGTCATTGCCCTGCTCCTGGGCATGTTGCCAGCCCGGCCACACCCATCCCAGATCAATGGCTGCTTCTCCACTCAGGAAACCACCTCCTGTGGTCACTTAGTCCAGCCAAGTCAGTTTAAAAGATTGAAACATCTGCTGAAGCCTGCGGGGGAGTTCAACCAGCCGAGATTGGCTTCTGCAGCAGGAGAGACTGACATGCGTCTTTGGAGGAGGGATGGAGGACTGTGATTGGGAAGGAAAGAGGGCAGGGCCTGCCTGCGGGACCTCTGTCCCCTGAAAGGGAGGCAGGCAAAAGTGGCTCCCCACAGCCCCCTCCTCATTCGAGTACGGAGATGGAGAGACTCATAGAGGGGCTGTGGGCATGGGGCCTTCTTTCTGTCCCTTCTCGTACACAAACTCCCAGGCAATGGCCAGTCTCTGGCTGTGTGTTCGAGCCCTGTGCAGGCAGTGGGTGTTCTTCTGGTCCATGAAAACTCAAACTGGAAGGAGGGAGGCTAGACAGCAGGAAGGACTTCCTGGCTTTGGAGGATGGAGAATGCACTGGAAGCGAGGGCAGATGAGACTCTCCATGGAAACTAAAGGAAGGCTCTCCCTGAGACCAGGGAGGGGACACACGACAGCTTCCCAGAAGCCACGGGTCACCAGTCGGCTTTCCCCTAGTCTTGAACTGTATCGAGCCTTTCCCTCTCCTCACATGGGTGACGAAAGCTGTTGGTTGGGGGCCATGTGGGGTCAGTGTGTGGATGAGACAAAGATGGGAAGCAGGAAGGGGTCCAAAATCCCGAGGTTTTTTTTTCCCTTTCCTTCCCAGGAGCAGAATTGAGAGGATTCTGGGGCTCCCTGAGCCCCTGGGAAATAAAACCCTCTGAGAACTCCCTGGCATTCCTGGGAGAACAGGTTCCTGGCCCTGGGAGGTGAGTGAGGCGCCGGGCCTGGGGGGGCAGCGTGCCTCAGCAGGCCCTGGAGCCGGGAGCTGGGCTCGGCAGAGGCAGGACGGGCGGGGCTGGGCGGGAGCTGGGAGGACATGTGCCTCTCCCCATGGCACCTTCTCCTCTGAGGATCCCTAGCCCGGCCTGGCCCACGACCAGAGAGGAGCCAGGCTAGTGGGGACGCCCTGCTACTGCCTGCATCCTGGGGGTCAGGGAATGACCAAGGTGTTGCCACCGCCTGAGCCAGGCACGATGGAGACCGGACTGGAGTGCAAGGCCACCCTCCCCATCTCACCCCCCAGTCAGCCCAGAGGAACTGGTATTGTTCAGTGGGGAACAGAGAAGGCTGTGAGGCCTGGCAGAGCTGGACCCTGTAGCCCTGGGACTTCAGACTCCAGGGAGGACTTCATGGCTGTGAGGGGTTAGGAAAGCGAGGAGGGGGGCAGTCCTGTCTGGCGTGGGAAATGACCAGCTTAGAGGCAGGGGGATGGATGAGATGACTTCTCAAGAGAATGGACCCTCTCCACCGGGTCGTTTTCCTCTGATCGGCTGGGTCTGGCACAAAGCACATACAAGCATATCCCCCCGCCCCTGTAGGTGCAGAGAGAAGAGGCAAACACGCCCACTTGGTAGAGTCTACACGTAATCTAACTTGCTCTTTGGACATTTAGGGAGGGCCTGGGGGACTCCACGGGGAATGCCAGAACCTTACCTGATCAGGTAGCGGGTGGGGAGGAGATGTGGGAGCCAGAGGGGGCTTCCTGCTGCTCCAGCCAATTCCCTACGGCATTCACTTCCCAGCCCCCAATTCTAGGTTTCAAGGGTCTGAGAGCTCCCTGCAGATCCCAGGTTTGCTCACTCGGCCCCTCGGCTTCAGGGTTCTCCAGGGAGAGATGTTCCTAGACCCCCGGGGGATTCTGCCTCGAGCCCAGCATCAGGTACCGGCTACAGCACCTGTTTGCCACCTGTCTGCTTCCCCACCAGGTGCACTGCTCCTTCCTGCAACCCAGGCCTCCCCCCTGGCCCCAGGCATCTAGAACCCAGCCCAGGCTGCTCGAGATGTTGCCTGATCCGTTGGCCAACACACAACCTTGGCACCAGCAGCCCCCAGAGCTGAGTGCTCCCCTTTCTACTTGGAAAAAAACACTAAGTTAGGAATATGCCTCCTTGCCTTTCAGCTCAAGTTTTTCAGTTCAAGCACTTCCGAGTCATCATTTTCTCCCAGCACAGGGTGGCTAAGTCCACCCTCTTAACACACAGAGGCTCACACAAACTCCAACCAAGACCAGAATGAAAAGCTCCGCTACAGCAAGAAGGATTGAAGTTAGACAACCTGAAACAGGAGCAAGAGGGAGGAGCATGGCCGAGAGGGTCCTCTTTGGCCTCCAGGCACTCACCCACTTCCTGCGTCTCCCTTGAGCTGCAGTGAGAAGATGGGGAGGACCCCTGTGCTCTCAGTCACTTCCCGGCCCCATTAAAAAAGCAATCCCTCCCACCCCATGCCCTGGCCGGCCCTGCTGGCCTCCACGGCTGACTTGGGCCGGGTCTCCTCTTACCTGCTCAATGAAGCAGGTCGGCGTGGGGCCCCGAGGCTGGGGGGCCAAGAGCTCAGTCCGTCTGTCAGTCCGTCAGCTCGGCCGTCCCGGGTCTGTGCTGACATCAGGTGAGGGGAGGCAGTTGCTGGGTGAGCCAATAATTATGATATCAGCTTCCCCTTGCCCCGAGGGGCTGCTGCCAAAACGGGGAGAAGAGCAAGGTGACTAAGAAGCTAGTTTGCTCCTTGGCTCTTGTTTGACAGGTACGGGCTCTTGTGCCCGCCCCAGCCGCGCCCTGGCCCCCCCAACCCCTCCCTCCTCCTGAGCCAGCCCAGGCCCCCTGTCTCTGCCAGCAGGCACAGCCCGTGGCCTGCGAAGGAGGGGGTTGTCCCGTGGCCCCCACCTGCACTCAAGAACGGGGATGTCAGCCCCCGTAGGTGGGGCACTGGCCTGTCGGGACATGCACACATGTGTCAGGAGAGCCGGGCCACCACATGTATGTTCATGGAGCCGGTGAGAAGGTTCTGGGGCGCAGCTCTGGGTGGTGGCCCCGGGGTCTCTGAGGCCCGGTGTGGACGAGTGGTAATTGTGGCTTCTCAAGGGCCAAGCACAAGTACAGATGTGTGGAGAATGCTCTGTCCATGGGGTCTGGCCATCTGTCTGTCTCTCTATGATCCCTCTGCCACCTTCGGGGTGTCTCCTTGTGTGTGTGGGTGTGTGCACCCATGTGTACATGTGTCGTGACTCCCTGCGTGTGTCTGCGGGCACGTGTGGCTCTCTGTGTGTCTGACCGCTCATCTCCTGGTTGGTGTGCATCTGCATCTAAGTCTTTCCCCGTATCTGTGTGGGAAGCTGTGTCCCTGTATCCAGGCCGTGTCCATGTCCTCTTGTGTGTCCTCTGTGTCCATGCACATACCTGTGCTCTGGGTCAGCAGTCCTTCCCTGTGTGTGTATCTGTGTCACTGAGTGGGTGAAGATGGGCCCCGGGTTCTGTGTCACGATCCGCGGCCACTCTTTATGGCCTAGCAGTGGTCAGCAAACTGTGGCTCGGCAAACTGCGGCTCTCGAACCACATGCGGCTCTTTGGCCCCTTCAGTGTGGCTCTTCCACAAAATACCGACTTCTGCGCAGGGGCCACGAAGTTTCGATCGCACTGTACGTGCGCGCCGGCACGCGGTATTTTGTGGAAGAGCCACACTCAAGGGGCCAAAGAGCCGCATGTGGCTCGCGAGCCGCGGTTTGCCGACCACGGGCCTAGAGAATGGAAACAGAAACCCATGTGGTTGCGGCCTTGGTCCTGGCCCCGAGTCCACCTCGAGAGTAGAGCCTGGTGAGCCCTGGAACTGGCCCCACTGCTCCTCCCTGGACTCAGGCCTGGGGCCTGCCCCTGGCTCCCTGTCCGCCTTCCCTGCTTCTGCCCAGACCCTGTCCCCACCACTTCCTCACTGCTTCCCTTTTCATCATCTTTGTCCAACCTGTCTCCTGTCCCTGGCCATTCTTTCCCGCTTCTCCTTCCCTTTCTTGTCCTCAAAGCCCACTTTCATGTCTTCCTGGGGCTAAAGGCTCCAGGGACATAGTGGTAGATCTCTTGCCCAGCAAGACCTGGGATTTGGCTTCTGGCCTGAGGGTGTGGAGAGGCCAGCTCCTCCCCTCTTACTCTATCTCATTCCAAGGAGGGTGGTAACGTCAGCCTTGGCTAGGATGTGGGGGCAGGGGGGGGTGGTCTTTTGGCGCCAGTGTGGAGTGGACTAAAACTTTTGGAGACTTCTTTGTCTAGGCAGGGAATATCCATTTCAGAAAAGAGGGTGCTGAGGCAGATAGCAACGCACCCATCTGCGAGTGATGGCTAGCTGTGTCCTCTTCCATACGCATCACTCCGAGCTTCCGTGTCCTCGTCTCTTAACAAGGAATAATATTATTTACCCATAGAGTTGTTGTGAGGGTTAAGTAAGATTATGTCTAAAGTTCTAGCACAATGTCTGGTATATACGTAACTAGATGCTCAATAAATGAATACGTGCCCCATTTCTCTTCACCAAGCCCAGTGGTGCTGGGTGGGACATGAGAATGTGGTGGTTTGCCCAATTGGGTATAGTAATTGTGTTCTGGGGCTACAACAGGGGCCCTGACTCAATTCACCTTCCCCTGGGTCTCACAGCAGCAATCAAAACCCTGCTCCCTTAACCTAATAATTGATGAAATTTCACAGTGAAAGAGCAGCTGTTGAGACCTACTAGTGTGTTTGCTACTTGCTCCCTTCTGATGTATACGGGGCTAATTGTTTCTTCTAGACTCCCAGGTAATTCCACATGGGTAATCTGGGCATGAAAGTTCTAAATTGGAGGCTGCTCTCATTGCTATCAATCAACATTATTCTGAAGGCCCTAATATTGCCATAAGATAAGAAAAATAAATAAGGGACATAAATATGAGCAGGAAAGAGGCAAAACCTTCAAGAATTACCAGTTATGTCATTGTTTACTTAGGAAATCTAAGAGAATCAGCTGAAAAACTATTAGAACCAGTGAGAGAAATTAAGGTAGCAGAATCAGAATACATGTTAAGTATAGAAAAATCAAAGCCATTTCTATACAACTAAACAACTAATTAGAAAATATAAGGAGACATAACCTGCAATTCACAGTAGCAACAACCTTACAAGATACCCAGGAATAAACTTAATAAGAAATGTATAAAATCTACAAGAGGAAAACAATAGAACTTTACTGACAGACACAAAATAAGACCTAAAAAACATAAAGGTATATCGTGTTCTTGAATTGAAAAGCTCAATATAATATTCTAAAGATGTCAACTCTGCCCTAATAATCTATAAACTGAGTATAATTCAAATCATAAGTCTAATCCTGCCCTGGCTGGTGTGGGTCAGTTGGTTGGGACATCGTCCCATACACTGAAAGGCTGAGGGTTCTATTTTGGGTCAGGGCACATACCTAGGCTGTGGGTTCAATCCCCGGTTGGGGTGCGTACAAGAGGCAACCGATCGATGTTTCTCTCTCACATCAATATTTCTCTCTCTCGCTTCCCCTCTCTCTAATGGACACATACTCAGGTGAGGATTAAAAAAAAAAGTCAAATTCCCCTCCCCCAACTTTACAAGTTGATTCTAAAATTTGGGGAAGAGTATATACATGAGAATAGCTTAGAACTTTTTAAAAAAGAGACTAACAGGGGAACTTGTCTTGCCAGATTTAAAGATGTTCAATAAGCCTTCTGCAATTAAAACAGTGTGATTTTGGTGCAAATTAGCAAACAAACTAGTCAGAGATAATAGAGTTCAGAATAAACTTGGGTATTTGTGAGAATTGGGTATATGATAATAAGGTGTTTTAAAGCAGCTGGAAGACAAAAATTCTTCAATAAATGGACTTGGGATAATGGGCTTTCCATTTGAAAAAAATAAAGTTAAGTCTTACTTCTCACTATACATAAAAAAATCCAGATGGACTCAAGATCTAATATAAAGTGAAAACCATACAAATAAATAGAAAATATATAAGAAACATTTTCATAATTATGGAGTGGAAATGGCATTTTTAAAGCATGACATCAAATCCAGAAGCCATAGAGGATTATATAACTTGGCTAAGGAAAAATTAAATATTTCATTGGAGTAAAATATGCCGGAAAAAGTTAAAAGACAAAAAAACAGCCTAAAAGAAAGTGTTGCAACACATATAACAAAGAGTTGGTATCCACAATATATAAACAGCTCTTCTAAAGAAGTAAGAAGAGAGACAACCTCAGAGAATAATGGGCAAAGGATATAAGAAGCAATTTACCAATAAAATGCAAATGGCCAATAAACAAGTGAAAAGACTTGCAACTTTATTAAAAATCAAGGAATTGCAAATTAATTCAGGGCCGGAGGGTCCCAGAAAGGTTGTGATGGGACGATAGGACCGATCGTGGTTTGACCTTCCCACAGTGAAACTCGGCTTCTGATGGGTGAGATGAACTTCTCTCTCTTCTGAGAGAGGATCCACCTCTGCCCGGGGAAAGGGTGTGGACCCTGCTCCTGCTTTCCTTTGGGAAGCACTATTTCCTCATTGCATGCACTCTGGGAGCTGAAGCAGGAGCCTCGGGAATCCCAGAGAATTTTGGAATGAAAGGGGGTCTGTGAGGTCCTTCTCCTCGTTCTCTGCCCCCAAGCCGGACCACCGTCCCCTTCTCTCATCATACCAGCGCCTCAGAATTCTCTCCCGGATCCAGAAAGTCTGTCCTGGTGCCTCACTTTACCTCTAGCTCCTGTGGTGTTGGCTCTGCTCCCCTTAGAAAGGACTTCTATCTGACGGTTCGGTCCCCCACACTCCTGCACCCTCATTTCAGGGCCTGCATCTGTCGCTGAGCTGGGCTCTGGCCTGGATGGGCTGTAGCTAGGGCTAGTGAGACAGACTGGGGCCGGGGGACTCTGTCTTTCTGGAGCCTGAAGGTCTAGAACTGGTTCACTGTCTATTGCTGGGCTCTGCCCAGGGCTGGGTGGCTTTGAACCAGTGGCAGCCCTGACCAGGGATGGAAACCCCTGGGGCCAATGTCTGCCATGCTCCAGTCTGAGGCAAGACTCCAGGAGAAGGGAGAGCATGTGCCCACCCTTGGGAGCCCCCGTGTGCTGGTGGAAGCCCCTCCCTGTAACCCACATTAGGACTGGCCATATTCTGTCCACTTCTGCTCAGTGTGAACGGGACTTGCCTTCCTAAGTGGGTTTCTAAGACGGTCTGCTACTTCGCAGGCCTTCCGTCTCAATCCATTGGCATGGAAGACAGTGAGGAACATCTGAGGAGGCTCTGGGCCGAAGCATAGCTGCCATGAGCCTGAGGACCTCATGTAAAGAAGGCTTAGAGCTCAGCCAGTGTGGCTCAGTGGTCAACCCATGAACCAGAAGGTCACGGTTCGATTCTCGGTCAGGGCACATGCCTGGATTTCGGGCTCGATCCCCGGTAGAGGGTGACAGGAGGCAGCTGATCGATGATTCTCTTTTATCATTGATGTTTCTATCTTTCTCTCCCTCTCCCTTCCTCTCTTAAATCAATAAAAACATTAGGGAAAAAAAGAAGGCTTGGAGAGGTCTGGGATTAATCAGGGTGGGCTTCTGCGGGGAGACCAGGCAGCGCCTTGGCTGTGGGTGATAGAGGAGTGCTGGCCAGAGCTGTGGAGGGTGTGTGGCAGGGGCCCTGGGTTGGGAGGTCTGAGCCTGTTCTGGTTGGCTGACCCTCTGGGAAATCCAGGGAGTTTCCAAGCCCA